AATCAATCATTCTGAGGCTATAAGACCCTAACGGTATACAATTTTGAAAGCATACACATAGCAAGACTCATACGATTATCATAACTCACATATCAGTATAACATGGCTAACATATTGGGGAACTACTTACTTGGCTCGGCCGATCACGCGCATTGCACTCTCCTCTTTTCCAGTTTAAGAAGTTTTTAACTTCTATTTTTGAGAACAATTTTACCATTTCCTTAGTTTGAGTCCTGACACACCCGAGAGTATGCCTGGATCCCTCGAACCAAGGCTCTGATACCAACTTGTAATGAACCAAAATTTTCAAATATTTTTTTTCATTTTTATTTAGCCAAACATTCCCATAAAACATGAAGTAACATTAACCATTGTTTTCAAAATTCATAACATTAACATTTTATTTAAAACATCAGAGTGTCCCATCAAAACAAATGCCGGAGAGTGCACGCCGCGCCATCAAGCCTTGCCCTTGACCTTAGGCTTAGAAGTATATGAAACAAATCAACAAACTATAAGCTAATGCTTAGTGAGTTCCCCAGAGCATACCCTACACACAATCCACATAAACACATATCATATTAGCTACAACAGCTACATATACCACATAATCCATGCATACAAACATACAAGGATGTCGTGGGCTCCTCCCAAGGTCATACTCCAGGATGTCATGGGCTCCCCCACATGGTCTTACACCTAAGTGACATGGGCTCCCCCCATGGTCTTTAGATGGAAAGCCATGGGCTCCCCTACATGGTCTTACATCCAAGTGTCATGGGCTCCTCCCATGGTCTTTACTTGGAAAGCCATGGGATCCCCCACATGGTCTTACATCCAAGTGCCATGGGCTCCCCCATGGTCTTCCCTGCAAGTATCACATACATAGCTAGATAACACAAAGCATAACTAACTATCATACCACATATCTCTACAACAATGAGTGTACCACATATCACAAAATGGGCCGACCTTGGTGTCTTAGACCCATTGGTATGGTGAGGAGACTCACCTCTCGTGAATGTTGAACTAACAAGCTAAGATCTGATAAATCCCACGTGCTGCTCCAACTCAACATCATATAATCATCATGTAATTGACTTGTCACAATCCAAAATTACCATTATTATCCTCAAACTCAAGCCTAGTCAACCCTGGTCAAAGACAAGGTCAATATTCAATGTTGACCTCAACTCGTCGAGTGCATCCAACAACTCGTCGAGTTACCCGAGTAACTCTTCAACTCGCCGAGTTACCAAGTAACTCGTCGAGTTCCTCAATGTCTAGAAGACCGAAAACCCATGCAGACCGAAAACCCCAAAAAAAGTCTCTTTTTGACCTAGGTCAAAAAAGAGACTTTTTTCCTTCACAAAAATCACTCGGAATCTCGAAAACGGGAAAACCCTACTCGACTCGTCGAGTTCTCTAAGGGACTCGACGAGTTCCTTTAGTCCTTTTTGTGTTCAGTCCTTTCCATTGAGATCCAAGGTCCTAAACTTTAGATCCAAGTTCTCCTAGTGTAGTTACCACGTAAAGTTGCAAACTTTACGTGCATGCAAGGCCTCACAAGGCTAAAACACAAAAACTAAGGTTCCTACAAGGTCTTAATGCATGGAAAGGGCCTAAGCTAAATAAAGTGAGAAACTTTATGTCATTGAAGACCTAGAGGGGTCCAGATCTGGAACCATATCCTTGTGACAAGTCCAGATCCAAAGATGACACCTTTTTGGCACCAAAAGTGACCATTTACATCCAAGAAAAGAGATCTAAGCAACTAAAGGTCAAGATAGTGACTTTATACCTCAATATGGTCACCAATACAGGGTGGATGTCAGATATATTGCTTCCCTCTTTGCTCCTTCTGCTTCAAGCTCCAAAATCTTCACAATCACCGCAAAATCACTCTCAAAAGCTCTCTTTCTCTCTCAAGAAGGTGCAAGGCTCAAATTAGGGTTTATCTGGTTGTAGGAACGACGAAAGAGGATGTAAATGAGCCATAAGTTCTTTAAATTGGGTACAAACCCCTAAAAATTAGGGTTTCTCGTTACAGTGCCTACTCGTCGAGTTGGGGCCTTCCGACTCGTCGAGTAGGATCTGAATCTCGCGTCCTCATAAATGACTGTACTCGACGATTTGGAGCTTCCCAACTCGCCGAGTCCAAGCACAAAACCCTAAAAATTCGATAAATTAAATGATACCTGGAATAGGTGTTACATATTTCCAAGTTTCAACCACCCACTTTTCTTTTTCATTTATGTGTTATACTAGATTGTCTAAGTGATAATTGATATTTTGACTCATTTCAAAGTCCCTAACATTGATTTTCTACGTCCATCATAGAGTGGAAAATGTCATCAAACATTTTATATTGGAATGGGAAATCTAGGCCTTTAGAAAATGGGTTAATATTCGAACAAAAATAGCAAAATTCTTCTTCACAATGTCAAAGACAACATTCGGTGTAACATCTAGTTTTGGTAGACTTGCTCTAATTCTTATGAAAGCACACAATTTTAATTTTGTGAAGGCCACGACTTAGAGAAGGAATCACCACGACGTGGCCATGACCGGAGAAACGTGCATCATTTTTGTCCACCACGACGTGGCGGAGGCTCGGCCACGACATGGCAACTGTCTTTTGGGTTTTTAGCCTTTTTTAAGGGATGTGATGGCTAGGGTTTGCACATCCTCATCCTCCATCACCTCCCTTTCACCCTCAAGGAAAACCTAACCTCCATTATTGATTTGCAAAGCTTTTGGTAGTGTTTTGATGCTTTGAAGAAGAAGAAGGTCTACTTGGTTCTTTGTCCAAGCAAGAAAACCTCCCCCTCATCATCTTGTGCTATCTCTGGAATTTTGTAAGTCCTCATGATGTTACCTTTCTCATTATATCATGTTAGATATAGGTTTCTACCCATTTTTCTCAATGTGTGGGTTGATTTGAGTTCATGGATTCCATAAAGTTAGAAACTGTATAGATCATTGAGGTCTCTTGGTGGATATATGTTCCAAATCTGAAGTTTTTTGGTGTATTGAGCTCCATGCAAGAGATCTTGGTGTTATTTCTTCATTTTCGACCTAACTTGAGTGCTATAATTGCATTGGTCATGCATCACTAAAAGGCATCAATTTTTATGTTGTTTTAGAAGTTAGAAAGCCTTCTGGAGTGTTTGAATGGGTGGATTAACGAACTGAGATGTTAATCTATGAGGTTGCAAAAACCCAGTTTCCACGACGTGGCAGTCTACTTGTCACGACATGGCGACTGGTGTTTGTTGGACTGTTTTTTCAAGAAGCTGTTGCGGCGTAGCCTATGAGTAGCTACGACGTGGAGGTTTGCTGAGGTTGACTTCGACCGTTGACTTCCGAACATTATTGACTTTTGGTCATGTAACATCCCTCTCTGGCACATATCACAATATTTCCCACTTTGGGCTCCCGACACGAAAACTTCCTAGGGGGTCACCCATCCGTGAATTGCTCTCGTCCGGGAACGCTTAATTGTAGAGGTCTTATGGGATCTGTTTCCCTCGTGCCTTTAAAACATTTTGGGACAGAGAAGGTATCCACACCCCCACTTAAGGAATGTTTAGTTCTCCTTCCCAGCCGATATGGGATCAAGTGCAAGCCACCTTCACCGCCCATTTTAGGGTTCGACTTCCTTGTCGAACACATCGACTCGTGCCCCAACTCTGACACAATTGGTAACATCCCCCTCTAGAATGTATCGAAATATTCTCCACTTTGGGCTCCCGGTACGAAAACTTCCTTGGGGCACTATTAGAAAACAGCCATTTAATGACACGCAGACAATGACACATACTGATTTACGATACACATTTATTGCATGTCCTAAAAATAATGTCATATTTCCAAAATTTGAAGGATAGATGACACACATTTTTGCATGCCCTAAAATTAGTGTTCAAGAAAAAAATTATAAACACAGAGGGCACCTACGCGCTCCCTCGTCACCACATGTGCATCATGATGCTCAATTATGCCTGATGATGCTCCATCATATGTGGTGCTCATGTTCATGTGATGTATCTCAAGCATGAAGGTTCTAGAAGCTACTGCTTGATGGAATGTGATTGGTTGACAACTTTCGTGGACCTATGGATCAATGGGTTTGACCCATTGGGGTTTTAGGTATGATTCCTAGTCTATAAATATGGATGTATGCTAGTCATTTGAAAGTGTCTTGAATTATAATGCGTATGTGAATCTCTATTGAATTATATTTGTAAACTCTGTTTGAGAAATCATAAAGAAAGAATACTCCCTTCCTGCCTCTGGACGTAGGTCATCTTGACCGAACTTTGTAAATATTGTGACTTGTGTGCTTTTGGCTTCTGGTTTTATCCTCATTACTTCCTAACATATATCTTATCTCGCTAATCCAGGTAATGTTAAACGATATTCAGAAGATGGTTTAGTTTTCAAATAAAGAAATTATCCTTTACAAAACAAATGTATTTCAAAATTTTTAGTCACCGAACACTTTCTGAAATCAAGGACATTCATTCTATGATAAGTTGAAGTCAAGTAGTTGATTGATTACCAAATCGCTCTTACATATAAAGAGGACTCCTAACCAACTCAATTGTTTAAGACCCAATTGCTTGAACTATTTACATAGTCAACTAATGACTCTTGAATCCACCTCATTCTTAATTTCTTATACCCACTGTTGATATATATATATATATATATATATATATATATATATATATATATATATATATATATATATATATATATAATATTGGACGGTTGCTAGGCAAACTTCACTTAATTAATGATGAGCACTTGCATTCGACTTATACTAACATCAAGATCATTATAATTATTTTGGTTTAACCTCAGAAGTATGTAATCAAAATCATTTAACCGGTATCATTTAGGAAGTTTGCTAAAAAGATTACAACATACATATACCATTTGAAATCATTCGAGATCATTAACTGATTAGACTAAACATAATAAATAGAGAATTGCTTCTAAAAGTTTGGTATGATGTTTAGAATTTGGTCTTGTACAATATATAGCTTGTGCATCATTCTAAAGAATGTTGCATCCTCCACCATCATGGGATGGTGGATGCCCATACACAAATTGTCCATATCCATTTTGACATGGATTGTTATAATACATTATAGGAAAACCAATCGGTTTATCGGCTTCCTTCTCCTTCTTTTTATAAGGTCCAACACTTACAATATTAGCCACCCATTGTTTCTTCCTCAAACAAGTTGCGATGGAAACGGGATCAACATCTCCAATCACAACTAACATCTCCTTGGCTAAATCTACCGATACCTCATTAACACCGGATAGTTTAGTGACTGTCTTCATTACATCCTTCCTGCATTTTTGACTATGCATGTTAACTTTCACCTTTATCTCCTGTGTTTGTGCATGAACAAAAAACAATTATTCGGAGGGAAAATAAATGATAAAAGTTGGAAAGACAGTGGCATATGCAACAAAATATGGAAACATTACCTGAGCCATATTATGTCCAGTAAATGATCCAGTAGATCAACTTCAATTGTTCTTAAAATCATGTGACATTTATATACCCATTCCTATGCTTACAACATCATCTTACCTAACAAATTGACTATGCATATGGAAAGACTTTTGTCTTTTAAGCTGTTGATATCGTAAGGACTTTGACTGCAAATGTATAATTTTATTTCGAGTTCATATTTATAAAAAATTACTTTTACATAAATGAAAAAGCATGTCAAATCATAACAAATTTGGCATGCAAAAATATGAAATTTATGTACAATCAAAAGTAACATACAAATCAATTTTTTTATAATTAACTTTTTTTATAAAAAATTTTTATAGTTAAGCAAGACATATATATATATATATATAATATATATATATATATATATATATATATATATATACATTATCCTACGCGGTATGGGTCTAAACAGCGTGGAGGGAGCCTAGGTGGCACGTCCTAGATGTTGTGGCCATGCGGGAATAACGCCCTATGCCAATGGTGCAATACAAGGGACCGGCGGTGTAAGAGAAGACAACGGTCATTTGACCATTGAACGATCAAATTTTTTTAAAAAATTTTTTGATTCATTTTTTAACCTATAGATACATGTAGCTATATTCTTTTTTGCACCATTTCTTCTATTTCATTATATTACACATTTATATAAACTATAACAACGGATTAAAACCCAAACACTTATCCATGAAATCAAAACCCACACCCTAACACATCCTCCTATGTGGGATTCATTCAATACGATTACCATTTCAATGACGACTATAAAATCAGTTTTTAATGACACACGTTGCATGTCATTAATGAGTATAGATGACACATAAATGAGTGTCATTCAGGTTCCAATCATAAATGAAGATGACACGCATTTTTATGTGTCTAATATTTTTGACAACCGTTGCATGTCGTAAATTTTTGACATGTTTTTTATATAAATTCTTTACAGACATTTTGTGATAGTATAAAATAATATATCATACACAAAAAATACAATACATTTCACAATATATTGTATGTCAAATACAATTAATCCTTTTAATGTTAAAGGAATTTAATACATTAAATTTTCTTGATATCATCATAATTCCCTAACAAAACACAATCTCTAATTAAGACATGTGTTTAGACCCAATTACCTAACACAAAATGCAATAGTTGCAATAAGAGACCTAATCGATCCACCAAACATAATATGAACGAATATGATCCATGTAACAAATTAAACATTTTCCTTCTTGTTATTTGACCTCCACTATCTTTACTAAAACTATACTGCTACACCATCATGTCAACTGCCTATAATGTATTAGTTTAGCTATGATAGATTAAGATTTATATATTCAAAAACTGATTATATATATATATATATATATATATATATATATATATATATATATATATATAGACACACACGTCAACATGTGTGCTGTTTGGCGGGTGTTGGGGTTCATACCTTCTGTTAGTAGAGTTCTCCAACAACAATGTTTACCACTATAATATCGGTGTGCCTCCTTTTGAGATGCTCAATGAGAGGAAATGTTGGACTCGATTTGTTGGGGTGAGGTCGGTCAGAGAGTTATAAGGTGCATTGAGTTTGTGCTCAAGACTACTAAGTTGATACAATAGGTGCTCGGTAGGTTGTAGACCGTTCAAAGTCGACATATGACTTCGTAGATGGACGCTGGTCTGATCTTGAGCTTCAGGTTGGGGACTTTGTACCTCCAAAGGTGTCACCTTGGAAGGGTATCATCCGTTTTTGGAAGCGGGGCAACCTAGGACTCAGGTATATTGGAACTTTTAGATTGATTGATCGGGTGGGAAAGTTTTCCTACTGGATGCAACTACCTAATGAGCTATATAAGATCCAAAAGATTTTTCATGTTTCTAAGTTGAGAAAGTGTTTAACAGATGATTCCATTGAAATACCTTAATCATATTTAGGTGGACGAGTATCTGAACTATGTGGAGAGACCGATCATGATTTTGGATAGAAAGAAGAAAACCTCACACAATAAGGTAGTAAGATTGGTGAAGGTGAAATGGAAATGCCAGAAGGGTACCTAGTGGACATGGGTACCTGAAGCGGAGATACACAAGCATTGCCCTTGTTATTTATCGTAGCGAATTTTGAGGACAAAATCTAGTTCAAGATAGGGAGAATTGTAACATCCGAGTTCAAGATACGTATCGTGTTCTTACTTTAATCTGCTTAATTTGTAGAAATGTGAAATTCAAAAATCTTGAATTTATCTTGGGGACGCGATGGTGCCTTTTAATTGATGTGGTGTATCCAGGCTCATGAGTTGAACGTATTTTTAGGGTTTTAAGGGATATTTAAAGGGAATTAACCCCTAAGGTTTCTCATTCTCACCCTTCATCAACCCTAGAACGTCCCTTGATTGAAACCTTAGCCTTCTTTGAGTGTTCTGAGCTTATTCTCCCTCCTTGAATTACTTTTACTGCTTTTTTATCTTTGGTGTTTTGTGAAGGAAACAAGAAAGGTGGTGCTTGGGAGCTTGAAGCTTGAAGATCTCTACCTTCTCTACACTTATGGACCTTTTTAAGTCACTAAGATCCATGCTTTATGGTGTTTTGGTTCATTTTAATGAAGTTTTGTCCCTTAATAGCTTGATTTATGGATTTTGGAAAACTCTATGATCTTAGAATCATGTTTTACTAAAGATATAACCTTTTGGAGGAGCTTTAAGTGCATGAATGTCTGCACTTTGCTCCATGCATAAACAAATAAGCGTTCTTGGACTTTTTGGAAACTAGGGTTTTAGATCTTCTTTGTTTGGAGAGTATTAATGGATAAAATTGGTAACTTTATCCATTTATAAATCATTTAGATCCATATTTGAGAGTTGGAAGCCTTCACTTAATGAATTAAGTCAAAAAATACTTGTTGCATCCAGTAGGATGCGGCGCATCCCCTGAATGGAATACGGGGGTGCTTTTGATTTATTTTGAGGTGCCTCTAAATTTAGGGAAACCCGATTATTTTATCCTATAGTTGATGCGGGATACCCATAGTGCGGCGTGAGTGAAGAGTCAAGAATTCAATTAATTATTGATTTCAATCAGAAAGATAAACACAAGTAAATAAATCTATTTAAGCTCTTGTTAGTCTGGAAGGCAAAAATATCGAGTGTAAAAGTTGTTCTTATAAACTATGTTGCAACACTATTTGTAGTGCTATCTACAGACTAAAAATATACTAGGAGAATTCAACATTAAGTACGCAAACAATATGCTCCTAGAAATACATAGATATATCGAAGTTACATAAACTTCAATATTGACAGCAACACTACCATTGATATTACAATACAAAATCTTCACAATTTATGAACTCTACATTCTCCCCTTTGCGAAGATTATTCAAGTCTTCAAATAATTAGTAGTGACTTTACCGCTTCCATGATTGTCTTCCTTATATCCAAGTACCTGCAAATGTGTTTGTGAATCTCCAGTCTATCTACATTTGAATTTTTCATACACTTTGCAACTCTGAATAACAGATTTGTACAATTTCCTATAAAATATATTTCCTTTGCGTCAATATAAAAGAAATGCTTCTTTTATTTACCCTTGATCTTCTTCCTTTGAAAAACAACTCCTAAAGGCTTCAATAGTGAACTCGCATACACTATTTTGAGCTCTTACAACCACTAGTACAAAAATGACCTACAAACACACCATAAAAGTGTGACCATATGCATATTGTGAAATTTTGTTTTTTCACTGAAAGTGTGACGGAAGGTAATGCCATTGTATGGGTCTTATGGTCACTTTAAAATTTAGTGTCAGTATGATATGAAAACATGTCGTCGTATTATAAAAGTGTGGTTATTGAGTAGGGAATTTTGTTGCTATAATCAATCATTCTATCCAATATTGTAGCGTTAAACTGTTAGTAGACACATTTATTTAGTAATTGTAGTGACTATATATCACCAACTTATGACATGCATGTTGTTTTAGTGTGGCATTTTACTAATAATAGTCACACGGTTTAAAGTTTGTTAAGACTATTGAGTATCTTTTCCAGACATATAATTACGGAGAACATGACTATGTTCGCAAAATGGTCACATGTAATTGATTTCATAAGTGGCGATTTGCTAATAATTAGTCACAAAAACAATCAATTGGGGTGAATATTGCCTATCTTATAGAGACACTCAATTAAGTGAAACGTGATCATAAGTATTATAAAGGCACAAAATTTATTAAAATTACGGATTTAATATTAGTTTATGACCATGTTTTTATTACTTATCATGACCGATGTTATCATTCCGACATATAAAACGTTGCAACTATGACTATTTTATATCATTTCGACATAGAGAATAAATCACAAAATAGTTGTAACTAAATTATAGACATAATAGTCATTGTAAGTGTGACTATTGTTTCTACTATGATCATAGAAAGTAATTTAAACCATAGACATTAGTGTTCTGTCAACACACATAATGTAGATGAACATGACTATTTTCTTCCGTATTGTCACATAATTTGCATATTAACAAGTCATTATTATATTTTCTGACATAAAATATTATCTAAACTAGACAATACATGAATTTTTAGTCACATAATTATTGAATTTAGTGAAATGTGGTATTTATTTGCCACGTCATTTTTTATGTTGTTATTGTTTAAGTTATCGTCACAAAAACTTTAGAAAAACATGATTTTAAAACACTTGTAGACGCATAATTAGTTTAGATCATGACTATTGTTATACTTTTAGTCACATGTTAAAAATGATGTAAAGTGACCATTATATAATTTTAGATACATTGAAAAACTATATTAACATGCCCAAATTTATAATAATACCACATGATAATTTTGAGATGTGATTATTGTTTAACATTCAGTGACAGTAAGTCAGATTTTATTGTTACTTTTTCTATATTATAGACACATCAAAAGAATATAAACGAAAATAACCAAAACCCAACAATATGAAACAATATCGAAATTTAG